GATAAAAGAGGAACCCAACCTTAAGACCAACAACAAAATTAATTAATGATCTTTCCAAGATAGAAAGTGGCAACACTTTGTAGCTTCCTGGTTGAGAAGGTAAATATGCAGTGGGAGGTAAGATAACTTCTTGGCTATAAATGCAAAGTCAGTTCTTTTTTAACATATCCTAATAAAATGGTGAAATTGCCTGAGCAAAGGAGTCCAACCCCAGCCATCTCAATTCACTGGTGCCAAAGATGTCAGTATATAGATGTTATTTTACAGCATTGAGCTTTTCTATGTTGACACTTCCTATGTTCCACTATAATTCTGCTTTGGATGTTCTCTTCCTTCATGGAACCATCAGCAACAAGGCCTCCTGATGCTTTAATCTAGCAATTCTTGAAAAGAAAGCCCCTTCCACACTGCATGCATTTATAAAGTTTCTCCCCTTTGTGAATTTATAATTTATTTGTTCCTCATATTTATAGGGGTTTTATCTCCCAAAACATGACTCTGGGCACCATACAATGAAAGAGCATATAATTAACAATATTTTAAAAAAATTCTAATATTTTAAAAAATCATGCAGAGAAAGAATTCATCTTCAGATGGAAGTCAGATATGCATCTTTTGCTATTGAAGCTTTTTCCACACTTCATACACAGTTTTATCTTTTGGCTTAGACTACAATCCATTCCAAATTTTACAAACACATGACTTGTGTGTCCTATGAAATATTTTAGGTAAAGTAAAAGAGAAGGAATGATTTATGCATTTTCTATGCTGTCTTCCTTTAGTTTGTCTTCTGTTATATTCACGTAATTCAAATTCATTTTTCTCTCTTTTGCCGTATTTTCTCTTTCTCTTCCCATTCTCATCTTGCTGGGTAAAGAAGCCATGGATTTTAACAAGAAGGCAAGCGAAGAACTTTATCTTTATCTTTTCTGTGGCTTCTCTCTTGCATTTGTGGGTCCCCTTGATAGCCAAACATCTCCTCCTCCTCCTCCTCTTCTTCCTCTTCTTGATTTGCTCTGCAATGTCAGTAACCTTGGCTGCTTGTCATTCTCATTCTCCTGTCCATCACCATCAGCTGCTTGGAAAAAATAAAGGAGAAATTGTCATTAGAATTTATATGTTTATCTCCTCTCCTTCACTTGTTAGATGTGGCCTTTCCTTCTTTGTGGATATATTTGTTTGTTCTATCTCATCCTGTTTTTCCTTTAGATTTGGGGCCATTATCTCTTGAGAGGGACAGGATCATCTCTCCTTGCTTTTGTGGTAGCTTCTTTGGCTTCTTGCAGTAAAGACACCACTAGCCTGGTAATTAAGGGAGAGACTTTAGGATGAAAATGGAGAGGCTTTGGGGACTAAAATGCATCTTTTGAAAACAGTTTTGGACAAAGATCAAATTGCAGTGGGAAACAACAAATGCAATAGTGTGCAATATTCCTCCTAATCTGACCACAACCTGAGATCTCTTATCCTGAGATCTTCTTGATCAAATAAGAATATGGACCTTTCTCATAAGATTACCACTTTAAGTGAACAAATGCTAAACCATGTTTCAACTGTGCCTGAACTGTAGTCATTTCTGTCATGGTGGCTAACCAGATGTTTGAACTCATCTCTAATTAATTATGCTGAAACCGAGCAATGGCGATAACTATATTCAAACTTGATTTAGTTGTTTACTGTATATAATTACTTTCTCTAGTAACTGTGCTTACTGAAATCAAAAATCTTGAAGAGGAGGGGGAAAACCACTCTCTGTCTTTTTGCCCAGAAGCTCAATTTGGACCATCTAAACGTAACTTTCATCTTTTATTTAATAACTTTGTCATTGGTTGTTGCTTCTTTACACTAAATGGCAGCTATGTAATTAACATACCTGCCCTTCATTGTTTGCTGCTTTCTCCAAAACTATTTTTTTAAAATATAAATATAAGAAAATAATATAACTGTTCAATATCTGATCCAATCCTTCCATGGAATTTTCACCAATGTGAAACAGAAGTGTTTGCCTGCCTCAAAAGGAAATCAGTTCCAAACTATTAGGACTTCCAGATAAGCGTGCCCTGACTTCTGTCTGCGATTTTATTTATTTATTTATTTTTTTACAGAGGCTGGGAAATACATCAGCGTCCCACGGTGAACTCTTCTCACCTGCCGCCCCTTTGCGGGCTCAGGGCCACCGCCTGGGCGCAGCTCTCCGCCCCGCACTCCCTCAGCCAGCCCGCCAACTCCGGGGGCAGCAGGGCCAGCAGCTGTTCCAGCACCACCAGGTCCAGGCACAGCCGGTACAGGTGGCTGCAAAGCGCCCGCGGCCACTCGGGGAGGCCGCTCAGGCTGCCGCTTCCTCCGCCGGCCTCCCAGCCGCCGTTCCCCGCCAGAAGAGCCGCCGTTGCTCCCGGCCTCGGAGACTCCCGGGCCTCCATTCGGTCTCGGGCTTCGCTGAAGCCGGAGGGGAAGCTCCCTCCAAAGGCCGCCTTTAGTCACGGCAGTCCCAACATTCCCCACTCCCCGCCCTTTTCCAGATGGAAAGAAGGCGGTGTCCGTTTCCTCAGAGCTTTTCAGGGCAATTAGAATCGTTCCCGCCAAAACTTCCCGCGCCTTCAAGGCACGCGCGACCTTCATTTCCTGCCCTGGGGAAGAGAGCCGTACACCCCCCCCCCAAAAAAAAACAACAACAACCCACAGCAGTGAGCACTGACAGGGACTTTCTGCGCATGTTCCGTTCGTTGCCGACCGTTGAAAGCCGTTGGAACTCGGTCTTCAGGAACACGCGCGGGAAGGGGAGAACGGGAGTATGTGGAGAACGGGCCGGGGATGTTGGTCAAGACAGAGGCTGAGCGGGGGCTGGAATGAAGAAAGCGGCCTTGGATGGAGATTGGTTTAATTGAAGCTTGTCTACATCTCGGATTTCTCTTTGGAATTCCTTTGGAAATGCGGATGCGTTCCTGGGACAGGTGGAAGGTGCGTATACACGCACGCACTCAGCGTTTAATAGTAAATTATATATATATTTAATATATTAATACATATATTTAATAGTAAATTTTATATCTATCTATCTGTTCCTGGGACAGGTGTAAGGTGTAACATATATATACACATACATTAGGTGTTTTGTCAAAGCACCTGGTATGTCCAAATATGTTGTAAAATAGCCCAAGTTCAAATCCCAGTAAGGGCATGGCTAGCTGATGAGAGCTAAATAGCTTGAAATAGATTTATACTAGTCTCCATTTATTTATCAGCAAAAAATGTAACACACATACATACACACACACAGACACACACAAACACCTATGAGGGAGCTGCTAATATGAGCAATGGAAAGAGAAGAGCAGGCATTTCAGTGCAATTAATGGTCAAATCCAGCTCAGGGGCAAATTTTGGTTCCGGAGGTTGTACACACCTTCAAAATCAGATTGCGTAATCTGGGAAGACATCTGCACAGAAACAGAGAAAAAGATGGGGCCAAAAGATGAAAATAAGAAAAAAGTCTCCTTTATAGACCTTTCCTTTTAGTTGTCTGAGTTTAGGAGTATTGGTACCAAAGCACACGTTTTCATCTTGTGTTATGGCAAGGCTTGCTCAACACAGTGGTTCAGAAAAGGGGATTGACTTGTTGAATCCCCAGTCTGTGTGCAATTTGAAGTTTGTAGGGTTGGCAGGTTAGAGGCTTTTTAGGGAGCATTCAGTGATGGCATGGAGGAAGCCTTGCTAGAATGCAAAAAAGGTACATATGATGGATGTGAGCTACACCTATTCTTAGAGATAGTTAATATTTATTTTCTCTTCCAATCTGAATTCCTATTTTTCTGATCAACTGCCAAGGATAGAGGGAGTACCCAAATCATCTCGAGAAATTATGGAACAAAATTATTTATATAATTTATACAAACCAAAAGTTTCTGCTGGTTTTATTCGGTAAAACGTTTCCTCCTGTGTCTGCATCCTTTGATGATGAAAAAGTTGACTGTTTTGGATTAACTTTATTTCATGGGAGTTACAGGTAATCATAGATTCACGACCACAATTGAGCCCAAAATTTGTGTTGCTAAATGATTCATTTATTGAGTTTGCCCCATTTTATGACCTTTGTTGCCACAGTTGTTAAGTGAACTACTGTAGTTGTTAATAACAATAGCAATAACACTTAGACTTATATACCGCTTCATAGGGCTTTCAGCCCTCTCTAAGCGGTTTACAGAGAGTCAGCATATGGCCCCCAACAATCTGGGTCCTCATTTTACCCAGCTCAGAAGGATGGAAGACTGAGTCAACCTTGAGCCTGGTGAGATTCGATGTGCCAAATTGCAGGCAGCTGACAGTCAGCAGAAGTAACCTTAAATTAGTCATTATTGTTAAGTACATCTGGCTTCCCCACTGACTTTCTTGTCAGGTCACAAAAGGGGATCATGGGACCCTGGGACACTGCAACATCATAAATATGAGTCAATTGCCTAGTATCTGAATTTTGATCACATGACCATTGGAATGCTACAACAGTCAGGTGAAAACTGGTCAGAAGTCACATTTTTCAGTGCTGTTAACTTTGAACAATCATTAAACGAATTGTTGAAAGTCAAGGACTACCCAGATATGGTTTTTCCCATGTGCATCTTTTTATGAGACACATACTACAGGTAGTCCTTGCTTTACGACAGTTCATTTAGCGACTGTTCAAAGTTACAATGGCACTGAAAAATGTGACATGACAGTTTTTCAGTTACAACCTTTGCAGCATCCCTATGATCATGTGATCAAAATTCAGACACTTGGTAATCGCTTAATCTTTATGACTCTTGCTGTGTCCCAGGTCATATGATCTCCTTTTGTGGCCTTCAGATGAACAAAGTCAGTGGGGAAGCCATATTCACTTAACAACTATATTAATAACTTTATCAACTGCAGTGATTCATTTAACAACTGTGGCAAAACAGATTGTAAAATGGGGCAAAACTCAAATGTCTCACTTAGCAGCAGAAATTTTGGGCTCAATTGTCGTAAGTTGAAGAATACCTGTATTCTCAATGAAGTTTATTCCACATTCCATGCATTTATAATTTCCTCCTCTGTGGATGTCTTCATGACAAATAAAGGCCCTGCAGTCATTAAAAAGTTGTTTTCATCCTCACTGCATTTATAAGGACTCTCTCCTGTGTAGATCCTTTGGTGGCAATTAAGGTCTTTGTTGTCCATAAAGCTGTCTTCATACTCCATATATTTATATGGTCCCTCCCCCGTGTGGATCCTTTTATGAGAATTCAGTTTTCCTTTCTGAGTAAAGCTCTTTCCACACTCCAGGCATTTATATGGCCTCTCTCCTGAATGGATACTTTTATGAGAAATAAGTTTTCCTTTCTCAGTAAAGCTCTTTCCGCACTCCAGACATTTAAACGGCTTATCCCCTATGTGAATCATTTGGTGACGAATAAGATCTTTGTTGCCAAAAAAGCTCTTTCCACACTCTAGACATTTATATGGTCTGTTTCCTGTGTGGATCCTTTGATGGGAAGTTAGCTCTCTATTCTCAATGAATCTTTTCCCACATTCTCTGCAACCATATGGTTTTTCACCTGTGTGGATCCTCTGATGACGGTTCAGATAAGAGTTTCTACTGAAACCCTTTCCACATACTGTGCACTTATAAGGTTTCTCCCCTGTGTGGACCCTTTCATGACAAGTAAGATGTTCTTTCTGAGTGAAGCTCTTTTCACACTCCATGCATTTGTATGGTCTTTCACCTGTGTGAATCCTTTTATGAGAATTAAGTCGTCCTTCTTCAGCAAAGCTCTTTCCACATTCTCTGCATTTATATGGTCTTTCCCCTGTATGGATTCGTTCATGACGAGTAAGATGTCCTTTCTGAGTAAATCCTTTTCCACATGACATGCACTTGTAGGGAGTCTCTACAGGGTGGCTCCTTTCATGATGGGTAAAGTTTTCAGTAAAGCTTTTTTCACACTCCAGGCACCTATATTGACTCCGCTCTGTATTGATCCTTTCATGGCAAGTAAGGTCTCTGTTCTCAATAAACCTCTTTCCACATTCTACACATTTGTATAGTCTCTCGCCTGTGTGGATCCTTCTATGAGAACTAAGTTGTCCTTTCTGTGCAAAGCTCTTTCCGCATTCTGTGCATATATATGGTTTCTCCCCTGTGTGAATCCTTCTATGATGAGTAAGATGTCCTTTCTGACTGAACTGCTTTCCGCACTCCATGCATTTATATGGTTTATCACCGGTGTGGACCTTCTGATGGCGATTGAGATTACTTTTGCTACTGAAGCTCTTTCCACACCTCATGCAGAGTTTTATCTTTCTGCCCAAAACGAAATCCCTCCCAAATTTTACAAAGGTATGTGCTTTGTGTTTCCCATAGAGTTTTGTATGTAAAGCAACAGAGAAAAACTGATTGACATACTGTTTGGTGACATACTCTTTTCCTGTGCTCTGACCTCTGTCATATTCCCCTACATCAAATTCACTTTGCTCTCTTTTGCCATATTTTCCTTTTCTCTTCCCTTTGTGACCTTGCTGGGTAAGGAAGCCATGGATTTCAAAAGGGAGGGAAATGGAAGAGATCTCTCCATCTTCTGGGGGGCTTCTCACTTGCATTTGTGGATCCCTTTGATGGCCAAACATCATTTCTTCCATTTCATATTTTGNAAAAAAAAATCAACAACACGAGAAATTGATCTCCTGAAGTTGGTTTCTCCCCCTAGTGGATTCAAAACTTGGGCTCCATATCATTGGCCATGATAACTGGGTCAGATAGTGAAAAAATACACGGAAGGAGACAGCAGGAAATTTACCGTACATGTCATAAGTTTATTAATAAGGTTCCAAGAGTAAAGAGTTTCTTCTCCAAAATGTGTTGGTGGTGAATAATTGCATTGGCAACTGCTCAAAAGGAGGCAGTATTTCGGAGGCTGATCTTTCTCCTGGTCAGAAGATATCAAAAGGAAATGAGTTTTCTTTAGCTAAAGAAGTGAAGAAACACAAACACTATTTTGTGGGAATTAACATCTGCAGATTGAAATACTTTCCAAATTTGGTAAATTTATGCAATTTCAGATACATGCTCATCACAAGACAAGATAGAAAGACATCGACTACAGAACAAATGAAAATATATGATGCCATCTAAACAGTAAAAACTGAAATGAAAATGGGCTGGTCACATCACAAAGAACTACTAGTGGACAAAGGCAATCATAGAATGGATTCCATGTGATGTGTCCACAAGAGAGCCACAAGAAGACATAGTGACGACATCAGCGTCTATTGCAAGCCCAATTGGCAAGGCAAATCTCAAGACCATATTGGTTGGAATCATGCAGAATAGATTTCATCCTGCAGTGGATAGATAATGATTAGGATGATGATGATTCAATTTCTGTTTTATATAGTTTTTTCCAGTAAATTAAGAGGGAATCAAGGAAGCCAACAGTCCTCCAGTTGGAAACGATAACGAGCTGGTGAAGGGCAACAGGGAGGAAACTGAAGGGCTTCATTGCTATTTTGCATCCCTCTTTCCACATCATGGGGAAGGAGAAGAAAAATGCAAGTTAAAACAGGCAATGGAAGAGCTGGCTGCTTTGAATGAATTCCAGTATTTGGGACCAGAAATGTTGTTCTGAAGTTCCTTCCATGGATTTATATTGTTTTTTCTGTGGATATTCTTTTATGAGAATTATGGTGCCTTTCTCAAGGAAGGCACCAGGAGCCAAGGTGGCGCAGTGGTTAAATGCAGCACTGCAGGCTACTGCTAGATCAGCAGTTCAGCGGTTCAAATCTCACCGGCTCAGGG